CCTGGTGGGAGACGATTGGATCATGGGGGTGCATCCTTCATGAATGGTTTAGCGCTATCCGCTTGGTGCTGTTCTCATGATGGTGAGTTATCATGAGATCTAGTTGTTTAAAAGTGTGCAGCACCTCTGTCCCCTACTCTTGTGTGTGCTCCCACCAAGTTTGCCTTCTGCCATAAGTAAAAGCTCCCTGAAGACTCCCTGGAAGCAGATGCTGCCATGCTTCCTGTACAGCCCGAGAACCGTGAGCCAATTAAACCTCTTTTCTTACAAATTACCCAGTCTCAGGTATTTCTTTACAGCTGTGTAAGAATGGATTAATATAATTAGTCTAGCTAAAGGTTTGTTGGTTTTGTTTCTTTTCAAAAACCATTTTGTTTCATTGATCTTTTGGGTTTTCTTTTTTTTTTCTTTCATGACTACTTTTGTGCCATCTTTTGGGTTTTCTTTAAGTCTCTATTTCATTTGTTTCTGCTCTGATTTTTATTATTTCTTTCCTTCTACTTATTTTGGGTTTGTTGTTGCTTTACTCGTTCCTTAAGGTACATCATTAGGTCATTTATTTGAAATCTTTCTACTTTTTGTCATACAGGTGTTTATTGCTATAAACTTCTTAGTATTGCTTTTGCTATATATCATAGATTTTCATATACTGTATACTCATTTTCATTTGTTTCAAAACATTTTAAAGTTTCTTTCATTTTTTTTGAGACGAAGTCTCACTCTATTGCCCAGGCTGGAGGGCAACAGTGTGATCTCAGCTCACTGCAATTTCTGCCTCCTGGGTTCAAGCAATTCTCCTGCTTCAGCCACCTGAGTAGCTGGGATTACAGGTGCACACCACCACACCCGGCTGATTTTTCTATTTTTAGTAGAGACAGGGTTTCACCCTGTTGGCCAGGCTGGTCTTGAACTCCTGACCTCGTGATCTATTGCGCCCAGCCTGAAGTTTCTTTCTCAATTTCTTTATTGACCCGTTGGTTGTTCAGAAGAATGTTGTTTAATTTGCATGGAAATTAATTTTGTAAGGTTTCTGAGGTTCCTCTTGATATTGATTTGTTTTATTCCATTGTGGTCAGAAAATATACTTAATGTGATTTTTACCTTTTTTTAAAAATTTGTTCAGGCTTGTTTTGTGACTTAAGATATGGTCTATTCTTGAGAATGTTTTATGTGATATTCAAAAGTATGTGTATTCTGTAGGACCTGGGTGAAATGTTCAGTATGTGTCAGATAGGCCTTATTAGGTGTTTTCTGTCTAGGTAATTTGTTCATTCCTAAGAAATGTCTTCTATTATTATTTTTAGAGACAGAGTCTCACTCTGTTGCCCAGGCTGGAGTGCAGTAATGTGATCATAATTCACTGTAACTGTGAACTCCTGGACTCAAGTGATCCTCCCACCTCAGCCTCCCAAGCAGCTGGGACGACAGGTGTACATCACCATGCCCAGCTAACTTTTACATTTTTTTGTGGTGATGGGGTCTTGTTGTGTTGACCAGGCTGGTCATGAACTCCTGACTTCAGGTGATCCTTCTACTTCAGCCTCACAAAGCACTAGATTGTAGGAATAAGCTACTGTGTCCAGCCCCCCACATTATTGCATTTCAGTTTATCTTTCCTTTAGCTCTATTAATGTTTGCTTTATATGCTTGAAAGCTCTGGTGCTGGGTGCATAAATATTTTTAAAGGTTATATCCTCTTGCTGAATTGACCTATTCATCATTATACAGTGACTTTTTTTTGGTCTCTTTTCATGTTCCTTGATTTGTATTCTATTTTATCTGATACAAGTATAGCTACTCTTGTTCTTTTTTTGGCGTTCAATTGCATAGAGTATCTTTTTCCACCCATTCACTTTTAATCTATGTATGTCTTAATAGGTGAAGTGGGTTTCCTAGAGTTAGGCCTTGTTTCTCTATCCATTTAGACACTCTATAAGAGGCACCATCATTGGGCTGGGCATGTCAGCTCACACCTATAATCCTGGCATGTTGGGAGGCTAAGGTGGGAGGATTACTTGAGCCTAGGAGTTCAAGAACAGTCTAGGCAACATAGGGAAACCCTGTCTCAACAAAATATTTTTAAAAATTGGCCAGGAATGGTGGCTCAGGCCTGTAATCTCAGTACTTTGGGAGGCCAAAGTGGGCAGATCACTTGAGCTCAGGAGTTTGAGACCAGACTGGCCAACACAGCAAGACTCTGTCTCTACAAATAATAATAATAAAAATTTAGCTGAGCATGGTGGTGCACAGTTGTAGTGCCAGCTACTCTGGAGGCTGAGGTGGGAGGATTGCTTGAGCCTGGGAAGTGGAGGTTCCAGTAAGCCAGGATTTTGCCACTGCACTCCAAGATCTGCCTAAAAAAATAAAAGAGGCATTATCTTTTTAGAACAGGCAAATAAAGAGGCACAAAAGGACAATACGGAGAGAAGATCAGAAAGTACCTCTGAGATCTGGGTGAGTGGATATCCTGTCACAGCTCCTATGCTTCAGGGAGACTGAGGCTTTGGAATGTCTTCCTCAAGTTTCCCCCTAAATTCTCTTCTAGTGTCTGGTACTAAGCAAAAGGTCCACCCTGAGCCTGGACCTGGTCCTATCTGGGAGCTAGTTGCCAGAAGTGCCTCCCTTGATTTAATTTTCTAAGTCTCACTTTTGTGCCTGGGATAGTGCCATTTATCCCATTTGAGGCATTCTCCAACCCTCTACATCATGTTTGGTGTCGTCAGGAGCTTGGGACTTGCACCTATGAAATCAACCTGGGTCTTAAGAGAATGGGGTCATTCCCATTGGCTGAGGCAATAGTTCTTTAATATGACATTACAAGGCTGGGCTGCCAGAATGGTGCTGACATATTTTTTAGGTGACTATCACAAGTTCAGGGTTGTGGCTACCAAAGGTCACCATTGTTCCTTGGGATTGAGTTGTGTGTGTAGGCCTGTGCATTGGCCTTCCCGGGTCTGTGAGGGTAGTGGCAGCTGCTATTTACCCTGTCTGCCTCCTACCACTGACACCAGGAAGGTTACCCTTCCCCCTTCTGCAGACCATGCCTATCTCCTTTGAGGCCTTTTAAGACTGCTGGTCCACAATGCCAGTGGACACTTCCAATCAATATCCTCTAATTTCCAATTGATACTGACACCGTACTTTCCAGATTAGGCATTAAGCCATGCTGATGGAGGAATAGACACTCTTTGCACAAATGAAACCACTCTTCTTGCTCTAACCACAGGCCTCTTGCCTATCCTTCCAGAGTGCAGCAAACACTGAAAGAGATCACAGTCTAGGAAAGTACTAATTGCATCCTAGAATGTTCAAGAGACTGCATGGTTGGAAGGCATGTTCAATATTTAGTCCAAATGGTAAATATGACCAGAAAATTGATTATTATTAATTTTCCTGCACACTCTGAGTGTGACTTGGTTTTTTGGTAATCACCAGCGAAGTACAGTAGCAACCTTTGAGAGATCATTGGAAATGAGTATTCACAGTAGCACAACGGATGCTACATCATAAAGGAGGAATTAGCATTAAACAAATGACATTTTGGAACTGCTTAGGCAAGATCTATATAGTTCAACGCTGTTTCTGAAGTCATGACATTGTAAATACTAACAGCATTGCTGCTCTTTTATCACAGAGGGAGATATGAAATTAGCCAGGAATAGCATATCTGACAAAAAGAACACAGAGACTACTTCCTAGTCTGAAAGACTAGGAAACAGTTTAGAAAGAAGAATCTTTGTATGCACTGATTGGACAATAAATATACACCAGTTTTTTGGAGACAGGGTCACCCAGGCTGGAGGGCAGAGGTGCAATCTCAGCTCACCAGAACCTGCACCTTTTGGGTTTAAGCCATCCTCCTACCTCAGCCTCCCAAGTAGCTGGGACTACAGGCATGTGCCACCTTACCTGGTGATTTTTTTGTAGAGATAAGGTCTTGCCATGTTACCCAGGCTGGTCTTGAATTCTTGGACTCAAGCAATCCTCCTGCTTCGGTCTCCCAAAGTGCTGGGATTACAGGCATAAGCAACGGGGCTTGGTTTATTGTTCTTCTCACTGGAAAAATAAATTCTTGAGTCTGTAGTGATAGAAGGAAAAGCAAACTCATTTACCACCACTGACTCTTTACTCTTAAAAAAGGATTTAAAAAACCTGAATCCCATCTAGTCTTTAGGCCTAATTTTCAGGAAATTTGGGGACTGGGCTAGGGTAGAGGAACAACGTACTGTTAGTATAAGGAAATAAACACACAAGTCAAGAATTGGGGCATTCTACAAAACAGTGGTTTGATTTTTTTTTCATAAAGCTAATATGTAAAATAAGAGGTGAGGTTGTAGAAAAACAGATGGATGAAACTTGATGAAATTCTGGTTAAATAACTTCAATAATTATACTTTGGGGACAAGTAGAAAAATTTGACTGGGCTGAATATTTGATGATATTGGGGAATTACTGCTATTTTTCCTTGGTGTGATAATGATACTGTGGCTATGCAGAAAAAAGCCTTTAAGAAAATTTACACTGAAGAATTTAGGGGTGAAATGTCCTGTCTGCGACTGACCTTTAAATGGTTTAGCAAAGCCAAACTGTATCTATATACACACACACAAACCAAACACACACATAACGCAAAAGGTAAGATGTTAAAAATTATTGAATCTAGATGGTATATAGAGATACCATAACACTGTGGTAGCCTTTCAACTTTTTTTTTTTTTTTGAGACAGTCTTGGTCTGTCGCCCAGGCTAGAGAGCAGTGGCGCAATCTTGACTCACTGCAACCTCTGCCTCCTGGGTTCAAGCAATTCTTGTGCCTCAGCCTCCCAAGTTGCTGGGATTACAGGCATGTGCCACCATGCCTAGCTAATTTTTGTATTTTTAGTAGAGACAAGGTTTCACTGTCTTGGCCAGGCTGGTCTCAAACTCCTGACCTCAAGTGATCCGCCTGCCTGGGCCTCTCAAACTGTTGGGATTATAGGCGTGAGCCACCGCGTCCAGCCTCTTTCAACTTTTCTGTTTGTAAATTTTCAAAATAAAAAATGTGGGGAGGAACAGATACAGTAGAGCAAGAAGGTAAAAATATATGTGGAATATTTGGTACAAGAGTTCAAAGATAGGTTTACACCTATCTTTGTCTAAAGATAGATAGGTCAATAGTCTAAATGGAAAGATTAGCACTTAGATGGTGAGTACCATTTTCTATGACTAGAGGAAAGCAGCTGTGGGTGAGTACATATACAGACATGTGGGTAGGTATGGTAGTGGGAAGTTGAGAAAATATCAGGTGATCTCAATATTCTCCATGAAGTAGGAGGCAGGGAGAGTGGCAGCTGGTTTGCAGCATGAAGGAAGTGTTGTTTTGGAATGGTTGTTGTTGGGAATGGCAAAGGAACCTGACCAGGGATATGTGAAAGATTTCACAGGGTGCAGTAGAGCTGTTGCTAAGACTTGAGTGTCTGAAAATTTCTTTTCATTTTTGTTCCTATTAGCACCCCGAGCTTATCTCCTATCATAGAACTTAACCAGATTCTAATTGCCTGATTACTCCAACTGATCAAGAGTTTGAGGGAAGGGGCTTTTTATCTTCAGTTTCCAGCACTAAGCATGGTGCTTCGCATGTAGAGTAGACATTCAATGTATAGTTATTAAATAAAATAGTAACAGTTTCACATATAACTTCTAAATAGTAATTTTTTTTTAACGTTTCTTCTTACCCTCAGCTCTCCGATGGGTTAACTGCTTTTCTTCCATACTCCCATAGCAACGTAAACGTTTGTCATGCCCATTACAAACCCATATCATTCCATTTTCTCCATTGTACTGAAATTATTTTTATATATCTGTCTTATCCAGCAGATTAAATTATTTTGAGATCAGCGATCTTGTAGCTTTCTATCCCAAACTCAGCACACTCGCTGGCCTATAATATAGCAGGCATTTTCTGGTCTGAGCTGAATTAAGAAAGACTAAGTTTTGATTTGCAATGGCTTTATTTCTGGATGTATATGTGATTTTAACAAATATTAATACTTTCAGAAAACAATCTTAATATTATTAAAGTACAATAAACAGTATAAAATAAAGCACTCAATTATGTAATCATAGCATACTAGATAAAACCCTGGGGAAAATAATGGCATTATATTTTAAAAGGCACAGTAGCACTCAGCACAGTCCCCTTTTCAATTTGTCTCTCTCCAAGTCTTCAAAATGTAAAGAATGCTTTCCATACCACCAAAGGCAAACATTTCCAAACAGATCTAAAAGTTCAGGAATTGGGTTCAGGTGACTTTTTATGAAAACAATTCAGGCGACCAAGCACTTTTAGTTTCACACACTGAAGGTGAGCCTTTTTCTGAAAATGGAAGGCAACATTTGACTTCTGAACAAGAATTAAGTCCAAGAATAGGGTGCAGCTGAGGTGTTTCTAAGACTTGAACGTCTGGACATTTAGAAATCCAGCTTGAACTTTTATAGTTATATTTAGGAGTATTCTCTTTGGTAACTATTGCTGCAAGCACCTTCTTTAATTTCTTCTTAATTAAACCTCTTTTGGTTCCTTGTCTAATATGTTTCAGTTTCTTTCTTGCTAAGTCTTGTTGATCAGGGAAATGATGGGCAGCAAGGGATTTCCCTAGACCTATGACTTGGAATCCAAGCATATCTGAAGGAAATATTTTTTGTGTGGTAGGAGGGACCCATTCGTCACTATCAGTTTCATGGCACTTAGCTAAAGGATGGTGGTTGAAAACTTCTGTTTGTGATATACCAGATATAACAGGGCTTCTGATTTTCTGGCTAGGTGTTTTTATATATTTTGGACAGCTTGGGCTGGCTTGCTGTTTGTCATTTTCAGGAATAATCCTTATTTTTTCATAGTTAGCATCAAGATCCGAATAAAATACAGGTATTTTTTTGAAAGCTCTGTTTATCCCATGAATTCTAGTTTGGTGGAACCCTGAAATTGGAGTTGACTGTGAACACGGAACAAAGTCTTGACTATTTTCAAAGTTATATTCTGAATCTGATTGAAAATGAGGTGTTGGAGAGCTTGTTCTTGAATGCCTAGAGTCAGATGGGTTTTGCAAGGATAACTTCTGTGAAGGTTGGATGAAGTCTTCAGAAAGTGACCTCAGTGAAAAATCAGACTCTGAAGGATGACTTTCTGGCAAAGACATTCCCCACTGTAACAAACTATCCTGTGATTTTTTGGTAATCTCTGTTGCAATGTCCATTTCTTTAGCAATATCATCAAAGAGGTCAGCAGAGGCATCATAGCTACCTTGACGGCCAATTGAATTGCTCTGTGTTAAGTTGTTAGTGATATGTCCACAAGGGATGTCTTTCAACGTATTTGTACTTCTATTTGGATTACTGCAAAGAGATTCTAAAGGATATGTAAGTTTCCTGCAAATTGTAAAACTGTCATCTTGGTTCTTTGGCCACCTATAATATTGTTTATTTTCTAATTTGCAAAGATCAGACACATCATTATACTTCCTACAACACAGAGCTGTCAACTTTTCATTCATTTCTGAAAGTAATTTTTCTCCACGTCCATTCAAGTATTTATTTAGACTAGAATGGTCACTCTCTGAAGTAATGGGCCTAAGTAGAATTTCATCACTGTGTGGTGAGATTCTTATAGTCTTAAGAGTAACTGTTGATTCTAAATCTTCTGAAGATGAAAACAGAGCTGACAGTTTTGGTAGAAAATATTCTGACATACCTCTTCCATTATGATTTACAGAGACAGCCTCTACTTTGTTATCTGGTTGTGACTCCTTTTCAACACTGGGACTTAGATTTACTTTACAGTTGAAAAAAAAGTTATCTTTGCCAGAGTTTGCTTTGACTATTGCTTGGGATGATCTTAAAACTATAGGTGGTGTATGCAGGGCTCCAGTAGTTCTCTGGGGAGTCACAGATAACATGCTGTGGTCTGCATGAAATTTATCGATGTCATTATCTACATGATGTTTCCTACTACTGACATCTGCCTGGGTTATAGCAATCTCACTTTCAAGAACTGCCAGAAACTTGTTCAGACTTTCAGAGAATGGTAGATCATCCCATATTTCAGGGTCACAATCCTCGGAACTGCTGGCTGTCTCTTCAAGTCTGAGTAACGAAGGTGAACAACATGCAGATCTCTTTTGAAGGCTAGTGGGAGTATCTATACCATGATGCTGGAAACATGGTGGCTCATGCTGCGACCTGTTTTTAATTTCCACTGTACTGTGGAAGGAATCTGCATTACTTGACTCAAGGGGCTCTTGCATTTTCAAAGAGTCATTAACTCCAGTTTCATGATGACTGCTGTGAACTGTACTCAGCTCCTTAGCTTGTAAGCCAAGTTCTTGACCCAACTTTTCTGCTGTACTCTTTTTATCCATATATGAAACAAGGCTCCATGAATCCTGAATAGGATCATGGCAGCTATTGAAACCAGCGGCCTCTGCAACGGAGATGGATTTTCTGTTCTGGCGAAGAGTACCAAAGGCCTTATCTTGTTCTGAAGCTGAAAAATCATCATCTGTTAGCTGTGAAACAATGGAACTGAATTCAAGTGATGGCGGCCAGAATTTTGAACAAGTATCCTTGCTGCAGGACTTGAAAAAATAAGAAGTGCTGTCAGGAGTATGTATGCTGCTGAGATCACTACTTGAGTGATCTAAAGCAAGTAAGTTACTATTAGGTGCCTGAGAGTCACAATGAAGTTTCCTGAAATTAAAAGTCTGCAAAAGTTGATAGAAGTAGTCAAAGACAGTAAAGCCTGCAACGTCTGGGTCTGGTAGAACGATCTGACAAGCGACTAGTGCTTTGGGTTTTCTTTTGTAGACAGAGCATTGCTGTAAGTAGTTATTGTCCTCTGAACCTTGTCCAGACTGGTTTTCAAAATTCTGTGAAAGTAGTAAAGAAATTTAAATAAGAAAAAAATTTTCTTCCTTTTACTTAAATATGAAACAAAGATTTAGCTAGGTGCAGTGGCTCATTCCTGTAATCCCAGCACATTGAGAGGCTGAGGCAGGCAGATCACTTGAGCCTCAGCAAACTGGGCAACATGGTGAAGCCCGTCTCTACAAAAAAACCCACAAAAATTAGCTGGGCATGGTGGCATGCACCTGCAGTCTCAGCTACTCGGGGCTGAGGTGGGAGGATCACTAGAGCCTAGGGAGATCAGGGCTACGGTGAGCCATGATCTTGCCACTGCACTCTAGCCAGGGTGACAGAGTGAGACGCTGTCTCAAAACTAAACTAAACTAAAATAAACAGATTTAAAAGGTTAAAATAGATACAACTATTACTCCCAGCCTTCAATTCCAATTTCAATTCTGTTAGTGTTATAGGCAAAGTACCATATTTAAGAGAATATAAACCTTAAAGAGCTTTAAATTGATTTGAAGAAATTCTAGTTCCAGCATTTACTAGTAGTGTTGAGACACCGGACAATTTATTTAACCTCTCTGAGTCTTATTTTTCTCATTGATAAATTAAATATAAAAATACAGGATTACTGTTTAGCAATAAAATGGAAAACTGCACAATGCTTAGAAAATAACAGTGGCTCAATAAATGGCAACTTATATTTCTCATTAGTTAAGAAAGAGAGGAGGGGAGGGGAAAAAGGGGGAGGGCAAAAGAAGAGAGGAGAGAAAAGAACTGCTTACGATTTTAACAAAGTAAAGCTCTGTAGCTGTTGATTCTACCTTCCCTTTGGATTTTTCTTACTATTCTATTATGGAGTCCTTTATTCCCTCTTTTAAAACCCTGATTCCAGTGTAGAAAAAATGTCTCTGTGTTCCCTTTAGCATAGATGAGACAGAAAACTATTACTCCTTCTGTCAGGCCTCCATGTGCAAGCCCAGACCTTGAAAGTCTAAAGTCCTGCCTGCCTTGGCAGATCACCACCCCTCTACCCTGTGTTTGCCATTATCCCTGATGGCCCACAGGGGAGATTCCCCTGACATAAGCTTCCCCTCACCCCACCCTGCCATCTTAACTACTCTTATCCCACTGGCCATTGTAACTGAATATGTTAATGTATACTCCTTGTCCCTACTCCCACCACTGAAATTTACCTTACTCTGTAACTTCCCACTGCTCACCCCAAACCTGTAAAACCAACTCCTATCCCATTGCCCTTCGCTAACACCCTTTTCGGCCTTAGCCCACCTGTACCCAGGTGAATAAACAGCCATTTTATTGGCTCACACAAAGCCTGTTTGGGCATCTCTTCATTCAAAGCGTGTGTTTTTAACACCTTCAAAGTCAATACATTCTTTTAACGTCTTCTACAGTCATTTTTATAATTAAAGAGCATCCTTCTTAATATAGTTTTAAGATACTTTGCCTTCAGTGTTCCATTATTCTCTTTTTAGAGATGACAGAATTAAAAAGCTAGAGAATTGACCCAAGTTTTACTACAGAATTTTGAATAAAATCTGGAGGGCAAAATAAATACTAAATACCAAAAATCAAATAGCTAACATTTCTAAATATATAATAAATTTATATATTTTAAGCTCTGAAAGCATTTGAAGTAGGCTTCCCTGACTTTTGAAAGAGGAAGTTGCTACCCATGGTGTTTTAACAGACCACCTATAGGCTATTTTTACATAGTTTAAAGTGTTTCTACAGGCCTTCACATTTACATAACTCCTAACAACTATTTATAAAATTCACATAATTCATTACAATGGAAATATTAACAAATTATTAAAAGGAAAGCCAGTCTCAATTACCGTCACTCCAAAAATAAAGCTTTGTCCAACAAAGCAAGTTTCAACTGCTTTAGTTAATAGATCCTGAGTTGTAGCATTGTCCAGTGTTTCTGGAATTGTATTAGGATCCTGAATGTACCTTGATTGAAAAAAAAAATGTGAATAAACTTTGAAATTTAATCATGCTATAAAGTCAGAGACACAATTAGTTTGAAAATGCAGCATGAACCTTTTATAGAGAAAAAAAAGTCACTTTAAGAGCTATGTAGTTTGTTCTCTCTAGTTTCTCATAGCACAGAAAACTCAACAAAATCAATTAATCAAGTGTGAGTAAAGTAGATATCTGCCTAACCATCAGGTCTGGCAATGATTATAGGGAAAAATAAAAGCAGCAGAGGGAATAGTGATGGGCTCTCTAGCCCTTTACTTCAAAGCAGGAAAAAGTCTTCCCTTTTCTCTGATAATCCTGGTTGTAGTCCTTTTATTGTCACAATCACAAAAAAGTGGACAGAGATTTCTTGCAAGTGATTAGGGGAGCAGGGCAGAAGACTGAGAGGGAAGAAAAGCTTTAATTGCTTATTCTTATATTCTCAGGACAATGTCTTAAAGGTCAAACTATGCAAATGAAGTTATAATACAGATAAAAAATAAGAAGATTTCAATTTCTGATATGCAAATATTCCCTCAAATAGCTTCTCCTGCCTCAGGGGAACCTAACCATTTGAATGCCAACTTCAATTTGGATAATTCTTCAATTTGAAATGATGTTACTTTCTTACCCTCTATTTCTCTAACTTGGATTAGAGATTTATAATTTAATATTCAAATTACAGATTAGTTACCCTGAATAAAAGGAGACTGTTTTAACATAATCACAGTATGTATTCAGGAAACAAACAACTTTCTTACTTGCTAGTCTTTTAAAGGGAACTGGTCGTCTGAGGTTGAATGATCATCTTTTCACAAAAATGCATATTGCCTTATAAATTTGTATCTTCAAATTCTAAGGGCAGCTAGGAAAAAGAATGTTTTAAGTATTCTTACCTGTGCAAACCAGTGGCAGTAAGACCAAAAAATGTATCTAAGCAACTTCCAAATACAGTAATAACATACAATTTGTTTGATTCTGCAACTTTTAAAGAAAGTTTGTATCTGTAATTGGCATTTCCAGATTCACCAGTGGAGCCACATTTTGGGCAATTAGACCTAAAAAAGTGGGGAAAAAAGTGTGGAGATAATCATTAAGTGTTTTTTTCATATGATGAAAAATCCAGAACAGTAAAAATTTAAAATAACATTTTCTGTACAAATGCTCCCATAGAACTCACATTCTTCTTAAACTCTTTCAGATCAATTTCTTTTAAATTTCTCTATTCAGAATAGTTAGCTTTACTGATTTAAATTAAATAGCTCTAAGTTGACAGATATACATACTAAATTGATAGAAAATGAAAAGAAAATGTGCATGAAGGAGAGGATGAAAAGTAAATTTCAAAATATTTAATACATATTTATACGCAAAGCACTTAATTGCATTTTCTCACAATAATGAAAATTAATTTATTGGAATATGTTGATAACTTATCAGATTATAAAATTAGATATGAAAGCCATGCAATTTAACTTGTTTTTAAGATAATCTGTAATGATGGCCAAGGGCTTTCCAGTGAAAAAGTATACATCTACATGACAGTGTAACTCTATTGCCATGTGCTCATTGTCTGACAGTTACTAAATTCTTGATTTCTTCATCTATAAAGTCCAGAGCTGAAGGAGGATTAAAATAGACAAAATAAAGGGTCTAGTGCAAATATTGCGAAATTAGTGTTAGTCTGCTTCTCCCTCATAACTATATGAAGTATTGTGATGATTATTGTCACTTATACTGTTTCCTTCTTTTCTAGTTTGCAATGTATTGTAACTCTGATTTCCATCTATCATGTTCTTAATCCCCCCAAGTTATGTTAAGTTTAATAGACAGAATAGTATCAAAATTTTTTTGAAATAGAACAAGCACCTAAAAACATCTTGTGGTAATGGCTAATACTAGAACTTTGTTTTTTCTTCAGGTTGCTAAAGATCTTAAAAAAGAGTGGCAAAATGCAAACAGAAAGCAATGTGAAAAATGCTTGGATAAATCTGATTGTTGCCAGATAGCCACTAGGGGGAGTCCAAAATCTGTAGCTGTCAAAGTGACACCTTTATTACATCTGTTATAATTTTTCTGACATACTGAGGATGGATCTGTACCAATCCATTCATAGAATCCTACACAAATCTGCTGGAGTTTGTGCTGTAGGTTAGCCATAGAATGAATTAAGGGTAACTGACTCACTAGGGGATAAAACCCCTTTAGTACCAAATTTTAGTGAAATGAACTGTTTAAAATATATATTGGAAGTTCTTTAAAGGCTATGCAATAACAATGCATACAGGTTTAATGTAAAATTCCTAGCAAAACTTAGACTAATTAAAATGCATTAGCATTAAATTTAAAAATGTTTTCAACATACATTATTTCATTTTTATAGGTAAAATTTACACATGGGGAAATTTGAATTTTTATCTGAGAAGACAAAGTTGGTAAATTTATGACCCAAACCCAAAGCTTTGAACTCCTATCATGAAGTTCTGATATTATGACATGATAACTATAAGACCAAATGGTTAAAATAAAGAACTGCTTGCAAAGACAGTATCAATAATAGCCTCAAAAAATTATGTCTATTAGTGTTAATACATTTACATATTAAACTATATACACTTTTACAAAGTACATTTATATAATGAAGACATTTATTTATACAGCTTCCTCTAACCCTTTTAGGAATGATGGTGGACTGAAATAATGTTAGTAATGTGTAATACAGATTAAAGCTTCTCAAACATTAATGTGTATACAAATCACCTGGAGATCTTGGTAAAATGAAGATTCTGATTCAGGAAAGCTGGGATGAGGCCCAAGGTCCTGCATTTTTAATACACTCCCAGGTGATGCTCATGCAGATGTTCCTTAGGCCATACTTTGAGGAACAAGGGTATAGACAACACATTCACATCACCATCCCCTGATTTAACTTCTGGAGGCACCCCTATTTCTAAAATGTCATTTGTTACAGAATAACAGTTTTCAAACTTTTTGGTCTTGCACTCCTTTATACTCTTAAAAAAATTATTGAGAATACCAAAGAGCTTTTGTTTATGTGAATAATATCTATATATTTTTCAATTTAAAAATATTTACTTGGGCCGGGTGTGGTGGCTCACACCTGTAATCCCAGCACTTAGGAAGGGTGTGGCAGGCAGATTGCTCAAGCTCAGAAGTTCGAGACCAGCCTGGGAAACATGGCAAAACTGCGTCTCTACAAAAAATACAAAAATTAACCAGCACAGTGGCACGTGCCTATGGTCCTAGTTACTTGGGAGACTGAGGTGGGTGGAGTGCTTGAGCCCAGGAGGCAGAGGTTGTGGTGAGCTACGATAGTGCCACTGAACTCCAGTCTGGGTGACAGAGGTGGACCCTGTCTCAAAAAAAAAAAAAGTACTTGCCAAAATATTGTATATATTCAAGGTATACAACATGATCACTTGAAATACATACACACTGTGTAATGATTACCATGGTCAAATTATTTAACACGTCATCCGTTACCACTCATGCTGTACTTAAGATCCACAGAATTTACTTGTTCATCTTATATTTGTCTATATATATATTTTTGGTTTGTTTTGAGACAGGGTCTCACCTCACTCTGCTGCCCAGGCTGGAGTGCAGTGATGTTATCATAACTTACTGTAACCTCAAACTCGTGGGCTCAAGAGATCCTCATCCCTCAGCCTTCTGAGTAGCTGGGACCACAGACATGTGCCACCATGTTGGCTAATTAAAAATTTTTTTTTGTATAAATGGGGGTCTCATTATGTTGCCCAGACTAGTCTTGAACTCCAAGGCTTAAGTGATTCTCTTGTCTCAGCCTCCCAAAGTGTTGAGATTACAGGCGTGAGTCACCACACCTGGTCTCTATCTCTTTTTCTCATGAAATGAGAAATTAAATGAAAGTAAATTAAAACTGAGAAATCTAAAAAAATTTATTAATTAAAAAAACAGACCCATTACACGGTTAACATAAAAACATATTTTTATGAAAAAGTTGTTTTTCAAATTTTAAAAATTAGTAAGAAGAGACCAGCATTGTTTTACATTTTGCAAATCTCTTTAGCATCTGATTTCATAAAAAGACAGCTGGATTCTCGTATCTGCTTCTCTGCTCAATCTGTTGTGATATTATATGTCATATAGCCTCTGGGAAACTCCATTATGCACTCATGAGAGGCTCAGAGCGAAAAGGCAAATAATGCCTTAGAATTATGAAAATAGATTTGCGCTCAAGGAGCCTCTGAAAGTACCTATCTGAAATAATAGCTGTAATTTGCTATCTTTTTTGTTTGATCCCAGTTAAAACACCAAGTTTCATTTGTTTATTTTAAAATTTTTATTTATTTGTTTTTTTGAGACAGGGTCTTGCTTTGTTGCCCAGGCTGGAGTACAATGGTATGATCTCAGCTCACTGCAGCCTTGACCTCTTGGGCCCATGCGATCCTCCCACCTCAGCCTCCTGAGCAGCTGGGAGTACAGGCATATGCCACGCTGCCTGGCTAATTTTGTTTATTTTTGGTAGAGGATAGGTCTCACTATGTTTCTCAGGCTGGTCTCAAACTTTTGACTCAAGCAATCCTCCTATCTTGGCCTCCCAAAGTGCTGGGATTATAGGTGTGAGCTACTGAGCCCAGCCTCATTTGTTTATTTTTCTAGAGTACTTATATATATCCCAGATGCGGAAGAATTAGTGAGATAAGTAATCCTTAATGTTTTCTTGGTCTTGAAAACCTTAAAAAATCTGATGAAAGAAATGGAGTCACTTTCTTTCCCCAAAAAACATATATGAACACAATATTCTACATATTTTGGGGACCGGAGGATTCATACACACTTATAATGTATCCACAGATTCCAGTTTAAGAATATCCTGACTATATGATTATATAACATCCCTTTCCAAGTTTATAGACCCAGATTAAATATACACAAAGTAATCAGACATATTTTTAAAAAACATATCTCTTAACGCTTCCATATATCATTTTTCTCACAAAAGAAGAAAACTATGATCTATTTGTGTGAAATTAAATTTGACTTGCTTAAGTAAATGATACAAGCTTTTTGGGTAGTTGGGAATTGGGGAGTGGATGGGGAGTCTCTGATTGATGAGTCCTATTTTAACTAGGAAAAGAAAGTTATTAGAGACAGATTTCTAGGCTCAAAGGGATTATGGGTCCCATTAGTCACCTAGAAGGGCAATTTCTATCTGGGCTGGATGGATAGCTTGTCTGTATAACTAAATCCTTTCTCTTGTTTATAATTTTTGGGAGTGTACAGATATACACTATTGTGTGTGTATGTATAGTTATTGCTTCATATGAAGCATCAAACTAACTCTGCACACATATATTTTTATAGATGTATATCTATGTCTGTATGTTTATATAATGAAATCCCCTTTCAAATGAAATTTAACCTGGAACACTAATATAAGGATGAGAACAGAGATCTTGTTGAAACTAATGTGGGGGCCCTGGAGTCCTACCTACTACTCAGTACTATGCATTATTATTACTCTAATCCCATCTCCCTCCAGAAGCACTTCCATGGAGCCCCAGGGCTCTGGAGAATACCTATGGATTGAAAACAACCACTGATCTTATCTTGGAGGTTAAGAAAAGAAAAAAGTTGCCGGGCGGGGTGGCTCAAGCCTGTAATCCCAGCACTTTGGGAGGCCGAGGTGGGTGGATCACGAGGTCAAGAGATCGAGACCATCCTGGTCAACACGGTGAAACCCCGTCTCTACTAAACATACAAAAAAAAAAATTAGCTGGGCATGGTGGCGTGTGCCTATAATCCCAGCTACTCAGGAGGCTGAGGCAGGAGAATTGCCTGAACCCAGGAGGCGGAGGTTGCGGTGAGCCGAGATCGCGCCATTGTACTCCAGCCTGGGTAACAAGAGCGAAACTCCGTCCCAAAAAAAAACAAAAACAAAAACAAAAACAAAAAACAAAACAAAACAAAAAAAAAAAAAAAAAAAAAAAAAAAAGAAAAGAAAAAAGTTAATTCCATAAAGCACAAAATACTTATTATAATTATAGTCACT